TGAATCTCGCATTACCTGTAACAGGAAATGACATGTGACTTTCGACAACAACTCAAGCGTCTGCTGCAGCACACTTGCATGAATATGCTGGTGCGACCAGTGACAATACCACCAAGCATACGCACCCGGGCAAAATGTCATCATCCCGCAAAATAAACCAAAACATAACTTCTACGCCGCCAGGACGCTGTGCGTCCAAATTGGACGGACGGCACACACTTAATAGCCAGCCGAAATGTACGTAACAAATACTTTACCAGCGAATATTGAAACGTGGCATTAACATCATACACCGGAAGCACGTCCAACGAATCGTTGTATAGCATGTGCAAAAGTCCTTCTATGTCTGTGCGACGTAATACTGGATTCACATGCTACGTTACGTTGCGAAAACTTTTTTGGAAAAGTGGGCCTGAAAAAGTCACCCAGTTCACATGGGACATTACGACGACGTTGTGTTCGTTGGCGCGAGCTGTGTAAACCATCTCCATTTTATGTCTTTCAATGGCCAAAACTTCAGCACATCCCCTTAGAATCGCAATATATAATTGACGGGTTATTGGCAGCCCTGCCTACTGCAATGGCACTGCATCCCGCGCGAGCCGCGATGGCGTTTGCCCTAGCGGCCGCTATGGATGAAATTTTTGACAACCTTGAGGATATGTTCAATTCTCAATGGCAGTGCTTGCGCGTGTGGGCCGACGCGGCGCGGCCCATGCCGCCGGAAGTGCGGCCGACTTGCCATTTCGCGGATGGCTTCAGCCCTGATACTACAATGGGTTACATATTGGCTATGTAAGGGGTCGTGCGCGGGCGAGCAACACGAGCGGCGTTGTCCTTGTTCATTTTTATAATATAAGGCAGCGGTGTGACTAGAAATTCAGTCGGAGTGCAAAGCGCGCACAATTTGTCAAGTATGTGGTCTTTATAAGCGATTGGGCTTGGCCGTTTGTTATAACTCGCGAAATTGGCGACGCATTTCAAGTAACGGTACGAGGGGTCAGCGTTTGACGAAATTGAACCCCCCCCCCCTGGTCACTTTAGACTTTTCGTCCACTTTACCGGTAACGTACCGTTACCACGTCCGAACCGACCACTTTTTCCAAAAAGTTTCAACGTAACGTAGCATGTGAACTGGCTATAAAGCAAACTATTAAAAAATAATACGGAAGTAGCAGGCGGGGGCCCATAACCACTTACCCTGCCTTTATATAAATGCCCCCGCCTTTCTTACGTTCGCTAGTCATTTTCATTGTCGTACAAGCACCCGTAGGGAGAAACTCGCTAGTCAATGCCCCCGCCTTTCTTACGTTCGCTAGTCATTTTCATTGTCGTACAAGCACCCGTAGATGCCCCCGCCTTTCTTACGTTCGCTTGTCATTTTCATTGTCGTACAAGCACCCGTAGGGAGAAACTCGCTAGTCATTTTCATCCGTGTCGTACAGGCACCCCTAGGGAGAGTCTCGCTAGTCATTTTCGAACTGCAAATCGGTAATCTCTGCCGTAACAGGCACTTGTTGGAGATTCTCCCTAGTCATTTTCGCGCGCTTCGGTATTAGTCGTACGAAGACGCCGAGTATATTACTATGCCTTCTACCGGCTTTGCAAATGAGCAAAGTCTTTATCAGAACTCTGAATTTCTCGAGATAGTCGCTTACGTGCTGTCCGATCAACAGTTCATGCTCATTATCCATGTCTCATTTCACTACTTCGTTCGCAGCAGTTTACGCTGCAACGCTCATCATTCTTGCTGCCGGTGAGATCGGGTTCTACTGCGCAGACGTTCTCGTCTGTGCTCCTCGTTCACCATGCTTACCTGCATGCGATACCCTCTACAGTTGATGGCATTCATTTATGTAAAATAATTTATGTATGCTCTTGAAATTTTTGATAAACAGTTCAAGGAGCTGTGGCAGCGAGTACGCACCGTCATAAGCCGGTGCAACATACTCGATTGCTGGATCATGAACGGAAAAAACATCCCACATGATTTGCAGCGCTGGGCGCTGCTGTCCTTCTTATTGGGTTGCTACTACTGCTCATGATAATACCTGGTGAGTAATAAAATGACGGGGGTGTTCGAATTGTATCATACGTAGCTTTCGTAGCGTACAAACGCATTGTTCCAATAACTGATCGCGAACCGCGGACTAATTAACAGCAGTCTCTGGTAGTAAGAACCATAGTATATGTTCTCTTACATACCGTGCCCTTCGCAATATGACTCTGTATGAGTGGTATATTGGTCGCTTGTCCGTGCATCACAGCTGCCTAATAACCGAAATAAACGCCTCTTACATCGTCTCAACAGGTACATCTGCCACCAATGAAAACGAGCAGCGGAAACGCAGGCGTGTGGACGACTTTACGGTCGACATGTACCCTGAAATGCTGGGTATAGACACTACCCCAACACAGCAACAAATCTCTGCGGCCGCTACAATTGCCCAGCCACAGCAACAAATGGTTCACCCGTTCACGACAACCACCACGCCGCTACAGAACCAGCAGTCACAGGGTATCGCTGGCGCAGCTGCTCTACCATTCCATGAAACACATACCATCCACCCTTCCTTTTGCTGGAAAATTAATACTCCTTAGTGGTGACAAGCATCAGCGTGCCGCCGTGTGTCGCAAGTGTGACGAAGATGCATGCATACACCAGCCATACAGATGGGCCATGTGGCACATGTTTCAAGAAATTCAACTAAGAACAAATCACCGACAGAATCCTAATAATCAAGCATGGATTGACGCACTCAATGTGATCAGGGTAGAGCCACCAACCGAACCCATCCTGGCACTTTTGCAGACTCGTGTGGTAAAGTCTTCCCATAATTTCGTTGCATCCAAAAAATCATGGCACATACCTGGAACAAACGAAGAAATCAACAAGTATAACCAAGATATGGCACACATCCACTTTCAACAACTGCAGCATATTACAGCTGCCGACAAGCTTCACAAAGGAAATAGGTATGCGCCCGATGACGTAGCTTATCTGTACAAAGCAATGCAAGACCAAGGCGTGCTCCTAGATCATCTTTACCTCGCTCCCGGCATGACGGTCATGGTTACCAAGAACCTGTCGGCCCCAAAAATCGAAAACGGTGCCTTAGCTATCGTGCAAGAACTCACCGAATCCATACTGTCACTCCAGCTTTTGGACTCCCAAACCATAATCCGCCTGCCAAGGATATGCGAGGTCAAATACAAGAATGGTGCCAAGCTTGAACACAAAATGTACCCGGTCGTGCCTGCTTTTGCAAGAACTGTACACAAGGTGCAGGGCGATACCATGACGGATCCCGTCATTATTGACTTTACAAACATGAACTGACTAGGGCAAGCATATGTAGCACTGTCGCGAGATGTGGATATTGAGCAGCTGAACATCCTCCCCATCGACATCGACTTGACACCAAACATGTTCAAGGCACATGTACCCCCTTAAGCACCATGATTCATTTTACTGATAGGCTGCTTACGTTGTTCCTGCTACTGTCTTACTGCCTGTCACAGTCTTTGCATTACTATGACCTTAGACACCTATCCCACGTCCCACCTGCATTACTATGACCTGGTGCTGGTGGTGCTTCCGCATCGGCAAATGTATCACAAATAGCGTAGCTATTAAGTATGTGACAGTCGTCTATGTGCAATCATGCTGGGCTTATAATTAGCTGTGTTCCTGTCGATGTAGAGTGCTCGTTGATTGATGATTGGATGAGTGGATGACTGCCCGTATGCATACATGTCTTGCGGCAACAGTTGCATGAATGCAACATTAAATGCAGCAAGAGCATTCGAAAGCTTCGTTGAATGGTTTGGGAATCTGTGATGATTACTAAATGCATAGTCGACATAACTACACTGCAACGTGTTGATTTCAACACATGCAAGTATGGATACCGCAATATTCACTCACTGGTGCATGATGTGCATTTCACATACGAGGACTTCGTGAAGTTATGGTGCATACCTGCATATGCATGCACAGCAGTCAAGACATGAATGCACTGCGAGTCTGGCCAGCTCAGCAGGCATGCAATCTTGACTGCAGTGGTGCAGGACTGCCTATTGCATTGCAGGATTGGCCAACCTACAATGCAAAAGACAATCCTGCTTTATGCTCCAGGTGTGTCTTCGTTTTAACGGAGCCATCTTGTCATGTTGTAAACATTGTTGCATGGTAAATGACGGCGTCAGGCTGCTACGCCGCTGCAATGCTAATCGCAAGTTACACTGAATTATGTGCCTATGAACTACACGTGAATTTAATGATTATTTGCTCGGACGAAGGTGGGCTAGTTGCGGTAGGTTGCGGTTGTGGAACTGTTTAGCTATAGGTCAGAGCTTCACACTGGTCCCTGTTCTCATGGCCGTTATGTCTTGCATAGATGAAATGGATCAGTTTTTGTTGGTGTTCTTCGCATGGTCTGTTCGCCAGCCAGCCTGCACGTGTTATGTAGGGCATATCTAGGGCCAGGGGACCTGGAATGTACGACCGTGTGACCGGTGAGGGACCTAATTTATGTCGCCACACAAAGGCTTCGTCTTCAATCCCACGCCCTCTGGTCTATTTGCTGTAGCTCAACGTTGATGTTAGTCTGCTTCCGTTTAGGTCCGCGTTCATGACTTGTCCTTGCTGGTCTTCTTATAGGGGGAGGTCCATTTCCTTGACGGTCTCCTTTGACCTGTGAATCTTGCATTACCTGTAACAGGAAATGACATGTGACTTTCGACAACAACTCAAGCGTCTGCTGCAGCACACTTGCATGAATATGCTGGTGCGACCATCCGTCAGTGACAATACCACCAAGCATACGCACCCGGGCAAAATGTCATCATCCCGCAAAATAAACCAAAACATAACTTCTACGCCGCCACGACGCTGTGCGTCCAAATTGGACGGACGGCACACATTTAATAGCCAGCCGAAATGTACGTAACAAATACTTTACCAGCGAATATTGGGGCTGCTAGTGGAGACAGTACTTTGTTAGGCATTGTTAGCGCGCCAATAACTTTAGCGGAGATAGTTAACAGACTTCCACGTGGAGACTCCCTGTTATAGTCCCGCAGCACTGAGCGAAGCCGTACATCGCACAAGTCTAGGGAAATCTTTAGCGCGCGCGCGGGCACTAAATCCTACCACGACCAGACTGACTAACTACTTAGGTCAGGGGCCGGAATAATAATAAGGAAGTCTGGCTGGAATTCAACAGCAGGCTGTCAAACAGCTTTGTAACGGTGCTAACACTAGTTCCAGTCGCGGTCGCTATGACAGGAAGTGCGGCGGTGCGGCCGTCCGAGTTGGCAAGTCCGAGTTCTTGCCAAAAATGTTCGGCTTCAGGAATGCAAGTAGGGACATAATTGCGACCAATACTGAGTAGAAGGTTGCTAGGCTCCAGTTGTGGATTTCTGGAATGCCTTGGGTAAGATGAATCAGCTCCTCGATAAAGCGGATCGCCATTGTTAACAGATATCGAAGGGAAATGAACCCTAGATATGTTTTCAAAGTTTACACAAGTAAGAAGACCGCTCAGCTGAAAGAACGGGAAGTTCGGAATCGATGTAAGTACGGAAAGCGCGTTTCCGTGAAAAGGGTCTTTTCCCTTGGAAACGGCCTATCCTTTCCAGGGAAACCAGTAGGTGTTTCCGAGCTACCTAGTGAGCCACTTCAGCATAGTTGCGCCTGCGATCGGCCATAGCCCGCAGACGCGGACGCCACAAATGCTATCTGTTTACACCCTACAGGCGTGGTTCACGTACGTATTCGCGTATATAGAATATCATATAGAAATTTTGCGTGTTCCTTGCGACTTGCGACTTGCGAGTTGCGACTTGCAACTTGCGACTTCCTTGCGACTTGCAACTTGCGACTTGCGACCTTAGCAGTACGCAAGAGTGCACTTCGCCTCGCACCCGCAAGTTGTTATGCATAACGGGGTGACATCCTTCGTCCAAACCAAATTGTTAATGCATAATGCGTGGGATTATATAAGCGTCTACCTATGGAGCAGTATAAAGACTTCAGTGTGATACAACAACGTACACGTACGTACGTAGCTCGTTGAATTGGGAAAAGCTCCTTACTTTACACGCAAGTGTGAACATGTCATGGTGCATTTATCAGCAAAGCTGCCGCCATGGGCAAGCGTATTATTGTCTGTGCAACCACGGGAAAAGCTGCAAAGTTCCTGGGCATGGGAGCAACGACAGCACACTTCGCGTTTGGATTCCAGGGCAGCCAATGGATACCCCTGAACAACCGATACATGCCCAAGACGCCCGGCCAATAAACAAATAAGGCCAATGAACAAGGCCCTCAAGTCGTACAGCCTAAAGGGAATTCTATCCGTCGCTGGCTCTACCTGCTAAGCGGAATCAGCAACAATTTTTCTTTAAGTATATGACAGCAAGTTTAAGCATATTGATTTTTAGCCTTGTAGCGTGCTTGATGCTGTGTGGTTAAAGCACTGTGTTCCATTTTGCCTGCCAAAAGTGGTGAGCCACTTAATCAAATGCAAATTTACAATGCCATATAAACGAAAATGTAGGTAGTGCTGTTACGCACTTTTCGGCGGAGGTAAGATTTCGCACGGCATCATCGCACGACCGATCTGCGTCGCTGTTCAGCCAGTATTTAACCTAGTACATAAACACGATAAATTTCGCGCCTGGCTTTCGCGTCTAGTACGGATGTTTTATTCGGCACAGTACGACCGGACACATTTGTGCGAGAGGCTGCTTAAATAGCAAAGAGGGGGGTCCTTGTGAAGCAGCTGGCCGCGTTTCCAAGGCCCGTATGATTTTGGAATGTAAGGTGTATATTTACGTTTGCGCGGAATAGATTGTGGCCCGGCTGGAGAGTGAAGCAGTGCAGTGTCAGAATGGAATGTGAGATTAGCTTGGAAGCAGTTTAGTGGAAGGTGTTTACAGTTCGTTTAGCGCACGGCGCAATGTACATGCAGTCATGTCGTTGCGCGCGCGTATGCAACAACAATAGGTAGCACAACCAGAAGAACAAGAAGGCACCAAAGCAACAGCGCGTGCACAGGAGACGTCGCGTCTGTCCTTTGCTATGATGTAGGAACGAAGAAGAAGGCCAAGGTTCAAGTTTCCTGTCGCGGGTGGATGGCCATGCCAGAACAGGCAACATGATGTGTGCTCTCGCACACTACCAACTTGCCCCCTACCAACACCTTCCGAGCACGCGAGGAGCGTACATAGCAAGGAGCGCAGCGTGGTGTCCTTGAAGTCCTAACGCTAACGCAATAGACCATCCCAAGCCGTTCACACACAAGTTAAAGTTGGACATGTACGCACCGAGAATGAAACCCTAAGTGCGACCGTGCCTAAATTCAAAAGCACCGCTCAATGTCCAGAAGCCTAGCGCCGAAATTGTGGGACGTTATCGGTCAATATTTAGGAGTTCAGCTGATGTGTGGGCTAGGCCAGCGTGGCAGGGGCGTCATCGTCCTGGACTGTGACGGCGGTGGGCGTGTGGGCGCTGCCGGCGCGTCGTTGGGTCATGGCGTAGAAGTGAAGAAATGTCGCTGCGAGCATATAGGGGCACCCGAAATTGGCCTGCATAGCAAGCATCAGCAGTGTGCCCCGTTATCAAGATGATGCGTGTAGCTGTGAGCAGTGCCTTCAGAACAGGCCTAACTATATTTCTGCGAAGTGCAGCATAGCCTGTCACACTCCCCTTCACCTCCCCCCCCCACATGCCCACATTGGCACACGCTTACCGGTGCTGCTGGATGGCTCTGCATTCCCAACACGAACGCGGGTTGGTTGTAAATCGATAAGCATGGATGACGTGTCGGCTGTACCGGTATCGCACACTGAGCCTTCTAGAGGATGGGCTGCACGGACGCCAGCTGCACCATGCACACCTGTTGAATAGGGTAATGTGCAGCGGTCGACTCAGCAGGCGTTGTAGCTGTATATGAACAGGTTTGGCGGTTGATATACATTCATGAACCAATTGCATTCGCCAGGATACGAAATGGCATCATTGTTTAAGCTTGCTTACGAACTGAAATTTGCTGGCTAATGTGGGCTCGTGGCAGACGAAGGGACCTGCTCCTCACACGGCCCTGACTGGACCTATACCACCCCTTGGCTCTTGCTTACCACGTAATCGCTGACCGACACCCGTCGCCCAAAATTGTGCGGCGTCTTCATCTGCAGGTGCGTATGCAGGCTTGGTTGAATGTTTGAATGTTGTGATGCAAGCGCCCGTTCATGTCGCGGTCGGCAAGCCGGCCACAGCGTACCAGATATGTTGGCGATGTCAAACAGACGCTGCACCTCGGTACCTGAGCGCAATGCGTACGCTGCTTGACCGCGCCGACCAAAACTACATGTTCCCATCTGAAGATATTCCCGGTGGTTATTCAGCAGCCTTCGAGCTTGCTGCTGGCTCAATTCCATTCGTAGTTGCTGCAAGACGGCTAACGCAGGCACGGCCGAATGCGCTGCGAAAAGCTGTTCCAAGCTCTCAGCGGCATCCATTTCACTTGCAAGGTTCTGAACGTCTCTCGCGATTCTTATCTTTACATAATTCTGTGCTTGTTTATTTATTTCGTAAGAGTGTAACTTGAGTATTCGGAACAATGAGAATTATGCGCTGCGCTACCGAAAGCAGGCGCCTTATGGCTTGCACACAACTGCTTCTTCGCCAGCGCTTCATCTTCCGCCAGCGCTTCATCTTCCGCGGCAGTTTCACGAGCCCAGAGTTGCAAGCTACGACGTTGGCTTTCGGTGCTTTTATTTACTGCAAAGCATCGACGCAATAGTCCAGCGTGCGGCTATGGCCAACATGCTCACCTGCGCAACGCGCTGGCGCACCTGGTCCTCATCCGCCAAGAAATTTTATATACATTTGTACAGGCGCATTTTGCGAATCGCACGCGCGCATCTGCGCGGCAAAATTCGCTCCTGACTTTTGGGACGAGATGTACGGATTCTCTATTCGCGAAGTACGACCGGACACATTTGTGCGAGGGGCTGCTTAAATACTCAGTTTTACATATGACTTCTTCTTTTCACAATTTGTAAGGCTAGTTTGGCTTTATTTCCTTCGCCGTTAAAGTTGTGATAGACTGATCCTTGAGTCAATACATTCATTTAAGCCTTGGAATGCGAGTGAATATAAAGCTAGTAAATGTTGTCATTGTCGGTACAATCGCTGACGTTCAGCATTGTGGTCATGCTGGTCATGACCACGACACACTATGACGACGGGTGATCGCGTTAAGTCCGCGTTAATTTGCGTTTGATCGCGTAACGGTGCGAATCCTAGCGTTAGGTGCGAATGAGCATGCTTTTGTAACGCAAAGAGCTAACGCACAGCGGCTATGGAAAAGCGGAAATCGGCCCTCCTGGCAAAAATTTTGACAATTTTATAATTTTTAGATTGCAAAGGTTCATTTGGAAATAAACTTGCGTCGTTTTGGTCGACTTGAACAATTCATCCTTGCGCATGTTGAAACGTGAAGCATACGCGCATGTGTAGCAAGGCGACACGCATGCGATTCCATCTACCGATTCGTGCGTGTGGGGAGACAATGCGTAAAGCAATACGCGTCCAATCGCACATCAAACGCACGCAGTCCGCATGGCTATTCGCATGCGAATGCATGTTGCGTATGAAGGCTCATTGCGTAAAGCATTAGGCGTCCAAACGCACATCAAACGCACAGGAGGGTATGAACAGCGGGAAGATGAGGCTGGGGTCCTGGCGCAAGCTACCAGCGCAACGACATTTAAATATCGCGACAAGGGGGTCCTTTTATATCTAAGTGTCAGTCCCTCAGTATCTAAGTGAAGTTGAAGGGGGGGTCTCTGGCCAGCTGGATGAGAAAAGACGGCAGCTAGATGAGGCGCCCGGCCGCCTTCGGGACAGCTAGATGAGGCTCGGTGGCTGCCAGATGAGGGTTCGCGGGGGCCGAAATTTCACCTGGATGAATGTATGGCATATCCCAATATGCAATTTGGGTGCTTTACATTTATCTAGTTACGCTTCCTTATGTACTGAGATGCGCGCGGGGCTTCTCGCAAAAAACGCTTACAGAGTCTCATACTCGCCCATGCTTTACTGTACTGAAGGATCGCGTACGAAACCTGATTCACACCCAACAGCATTCCATCACGGCAAACTGTGGATCACCGCGAGGATTTCTGATCGGGTGCACCAGTGGTGCACTCCCGCGGTAACATAGGCTACCGACCCTGTCGGCACACGAGTGGCCGCGTACATGATATAGCATCAACCCGGATATTCTTCACACAAGCCTATGTACCATGTCGTCCAGTTCCGCTTGACCGCCGTCGCCCATGGTGATGTCCAGCGTCGTCATCTGTGATATTGCGCAAAGAGACTCGATGACTTCGATGCTTCAATTGAGATCAATCTACAGCAAGCATTCCTGTCATTTCAGTGCTATTTCCGCCTTTTCTGATTGCTGCTTACGCTCACGAACGAAAGCCTAACGTCCTTTCGCGAATGACATGCTGAAAAATGAGCCCCGCGTTAGCTAGTGTAACAGGTTGAGACCCTGATTGTCATCGCATGCCTTCTCGTACGATTTGGTACGCCATGGCCACTACATCGCGTTCATGCACGTGCACGTCTATTTAAAAATATGTGCTTCCGCATTCCCCTCTGTCACGCTAATTGTACATTTGCCAATTGTTAGAACAGACCCTCGTCAGGTTGTGGCTCTTTATTGCGCAGAGGACAAGCGCGTTGCTTGTCCTCTGTATAAATATCTTTCGGTACCGGCACTCCAAATGGATGCCTTTGGAGGGCGCTCACGCGGATGATCCGCGGCTTTCGCGGCTGTGCACCAATGGTGCACGGCCGGGGTACATGGCCCAACAGCATGGTTTGGACTCCCTTTTCGAATGGGCGAACATAAATATTAGCACTCTTAAACCTGAAAAGCGCTCCCGTCAGCTGTCGCCATCAGTTGATCGTCATGTCCATGCGTCCAGCAGGCTTTCACAAAATGTATCTGGATGCCAGTCAACTTACAACCAAATGAATATAGGAGGACATGAAACGGTATTTAAATAAATGTTTCTTTTCAGTCAGATGCGCGCGCGGGGCCCCTCTCCTGGCAGCTAGATGAAGCGTCGGGACAGCTAGATGAGGCCGAGGGGGGTTGTCAGGCGGTCAAGATGAGGCTCGGGGCTCAGCTAGATGATCCCCGCGATATCTAGATACCATGTGAACCTAGTTAGATATTGTTTCCTCATACTTAAATGAGCGCGGAAGGCAGATGCCGGCCAGGACCCCACCCCCAGATGACAGATGACGAACCCTGGGTGATACCCTCCGAACGCACGCAGTCCGCATGGCTATTCGCATGCGAATGCATGTTGCGTTTCATGCGTATGAAGGCTGATTGCGTAAAGCTTAACGCGGCCTAAGCTAACACACACCGAACACACACACGATTTACTTTGGTTAATCGCATGACATAACAATTCACATGCGATGTTTTATGGTCGCATACTCAGTTCGTTAACCTTCTGTAGTGAGTCTGGTTGAGACGCGCCAGAATACAGCGAAATGTAGCAGCGGAAAACAGACCACAATAGATGATAAAGGTGCGAGGTGGGTGTGACCACAACACCAGTAGTAATAGCAGCGCTAGACTACCCATGCCTACCAGGCATCCGCACCGAATTATATACGATCGGTAACTGGTGATCGTAGCCCAGCGGGACTTCTCTTAACCTTCCTTGATAGGATAGGTCGATCGACGCGACTGTATGATTGACGACTGTCATACTTTACACCACCGACAACCTGTCAGTTGATCTCAGCCTCGAACGTTGGAACGTCCGTTCGATATCCAACTGGGATATGCTGGGATTCGTTAATTACATAACCATACTGGTTAGATTGATCAACCATAGGCCACAACATTTATCCCCTCCTTTTAGGAGTCGTGTCCTCACGACTACGGGACTTAATGAACTGCAACTCAGCAGCCATATCCGATGTAAAGTGGTCAGCTGGTTCCCAACTGTTATGTTCCGACTCGAAACCTTTCCACTTAACCAGATATTCATCGACGTACTTACGTCCCACTTTCCGGCGGCGATAGTCCAATACTCGGTCTATCGGATAAGTAGTATCCTCAGAGAACTCCTCCGGTAATTGCTCAACAGGCAACGGTTGAAAAGTACCATCGGTACGGTAGGACTTAACAAGCGATACATGAAATACATTATGTATCTTCAAGTTGCTTGGAAGCTTCAGCTTCACAGCAACATTTCCTACCATTTGTTCGACCTCGAACGGTCCACACCAACGAGGCGTGAGTTTACGAATGCCCTTACCTCGCAAACGCAAGTTTTTAGTACTTAATAAAACAAGTTGTCTTGGCTCAAACAAAACATCCCTTTTCTTGGCGTTGTAGTGTTGCTCAGTACGACTTTGAGCCGCCAATAAACATCGTTTAGCATCAGCTAGGCGTTTTTCCAGTGTTTGCACAAATGCCTTAGCTGTTGGTACAGTAACATCTAACTCTCGTACAGTAGGTGTTGCAGGATGATAACCGTAATTTAGAAAGAAGGGTGTTTGACCAGTAGACCGGTTTACCGAATTGTTAACAGCAAATTCCGCCAAGGATAAAACTTTATCCCACGTGGATGGAGATCCATCACAGTAACTTCGCAACATGTCGGCCAGCACACGGTTCATGCGCTCTGTTTGACCATCGGTCTGTGGATGGAATGCTGTAGACAGATCTGAACGAAGATCGATCATACGAGCCATATGTTGCCAGAACATTCCAGCAAACTGCGGTCCTCTATCAGAGACTGTGGTTTTGGGCAATCCATGCAATCGAACAACGTTTGCAAGGAACAACTCTGCAGTTTTCTCGGCTGTGACATGCGTATTGGTTGGTACAAAATGAGCCATCTTGGTGAGACGATCCACCACAACAAAAATGGCGTCATGTTGTCGTTGCGTACGCGGCAAACCAACCACAAAATCCATTGAGACACTGTCCCACGGCATGTCTGGTATTGGCAACGGTTGCAACAAACCATGTTGTCGCCCTGACAAGGTTTTGTTACGTTGACATTTATCACAACAACGTACGAAAGACTCGATATCTGCTGTTATCCCAGGCCACCAATGGTGTCGTTGTACTAACTCAAGGGTGCGAGCGACTCCTGGGTGTCCACCCATGGGTCCTCCATGACAGCGAGCTATCAGTTCTTGTCGTAGTTGGGGCTCACATGGAACGACAATACTTCGACGTCCCGTAGGCATCGCCTTGAGCCAGTAGCCTTGTTCATTACGGAACAACGTAGCTACGTTTAGTGATTGACCGAACCAAGGATCCTTAGCATACCCAGCCAGGATACGTTCTCGAAGCGTACATGCTTTCGTCCTTCGGGTTATCGCATTCAGTGAGGGATGTCGACTGAGAGCATCAGCTACATTCAGTTTCCCAGCACGATGTTCCCACAATAAATGAAATCGACTAAGGAACTCAAGCCAACGTGCTTGCCTTCGATTTAACGTGGGTTGCGTTTTGAGGTAAATTAACGGGTGATGATCCGTTACCACGCGTACGTCATGTGGTCCTTCGAGGTAGCATCGCCACTCTCTTAGGGCATGGATTACACCAAGCAATTCCTGCTCTCCCGTTGTATAGTTCCGTTCGGCTGGCGTGAACTTTTTACTGGTGAACGCAATAGGGGCTCCATCTTGGAGAAGTACAGCACCTGTTCTCCTTAACGATGCGTCCGAAATTACCTCAAAAGAGAACGGTTTGGTCAAATCAGGGTACCGAAGCAAGACATCGTCTGCCAAGGCTTTCTTTACTACCTCAAAGGCTTCACGTGCCGAGGGAGTCCACTCGGGCATTTCTGAAGTCAAAGAGCCCGCCACCGTAAGGGCCGGATTAGTTGGGGCGAGCATCCGTATGATACGAAGGGCTCACTTACAACCTTTGTAACGCTCTCCGCCTAAGCGAGCCCCACGCACCACGCACGAACGAATTTAGGCCCTTTTCGGTGATATCCAAATTTTTTGGAAGCGCGATCGCGCTCCGTTTTATTGTAATAATTTTCCGTGTTCCTGAATCGAGTAATCGTGTTATCGCGAGTACCCGTTAGCATTATGTTTCCTCTCGTACCTGGCGGCTTACCGTGGGGCCAAGACCCACTTACTTCGTCTACTCATCGATTCGTTACCGTTACGCCTGTGCGTGACGATCTCATCGTCCCGCCGTTACACCTGCCGCTGGTACGTTTTGTCTGTTTTCGATGGACGTCCGTCAGCTTAGTGCGTCCTACGCCTCGGCTCTATGATCACCGCAGGTCTTTCCTGGTAATCCTCTCCCTGCCATGCCTCCGCTTGCTGCGGGCCCTATCCGTCTCCCGAGGTCGGCGCCACCGCCTTTAGACCCTGTCGCGGCTCTGTATTACTCTGAGTTTACCGGGGACGTGTCGGTGCGGCCGCCGCTCACGGCCGCCTTGCTCTCGATCTACCAGGTGCACCAACATCAGTGGGTCTCGGAGAGCTGGCGGCGGGTTCAAAGTGCTGCGCGAGAATTTCATGGCTGGTTGCAGCGCCAGTCTCTCGGGCTCACCTTGCTCACCTGCGATCCTATGTCCATTGTTTCGTATCTGGTGGAATGGTGGTTCCCCCGGCACCCTGGGCGTCTGCGGGCTGACCGGCGTCCCAGCGCCAGTGCTGTGAAAGGGGTTATCTCGAGCCTTGCGACTGCTTTTAAGCAGCTGGGCCGGGAAGGGGACTATGACGCCTCTCAAAGCCGCGGGAATCCTTGCGACAGCTCCTTGGTGCGAGGCTATGTCAAGGGCTACGGGCGGGACCTTAGTGACGCCGGTTATGGG